GCAGCAGCAGCAGCAGCAGCAGCAGCAGCAGCAGCAGCAGCAGCAGCAGCAGCAGCTCGTGTAGCTGCCCCCTTCCTCTCCCTTCTCCTCACTGTACTTGACTATTAAAGATGCGCCTCCAGCCCTCTCTGGGGTCTGGGAGGTGGGTTTGGGTGGTGTCCTGGCCTGCATCTGCAGTACACCCTGCTCAGCATCTACTGAGCCCAGCCTCCTTTTACCCCATTGGGCAGAAAGGCGCAGTGACTTGCCCAGGGTCGCAAGCAGTACCCAGGTGAAGCGGCAACACACAATAGACTGTGTGCCCCACGAGGGCAGGGCTCCTTGTTTTATTCTCTGATGTGTCCCAAGTACCCTGAACAATAAATATTTAGCACGTAAAAGGTACTCAATAAACATGTGAATTTATTGCCCCTCCCAAAAAGGCCATTAGTCTATTTTCTTAAAAAATATTTTTTAGATTTATTTACTCTATGTGTATGGCTGATTTGCCTGAATGAACATGTGTTCACAAAATGCATGCCTGTCACCTGTGGAGGTCAGAAGAGGCTGTCAGATACCCTAAACTGGAGTCACCTTGTGGCTGAGCCACCTCTCCAGCCCCATACTGTTCTAGTTCTATACCTTAGTTCTTCCTCTACCCAAACCCTTCTGAAACCTAAAGCTAAACTGCAAAACATACACTCTGGTGTATGTATCATTAATATGTGTGTGTATAAGAATATCTATATGTATATGTATGTCTATGCAAATATTATTAAATATGCATATTAAGTATGTTTAAAATATATGCTATGTAACAGCACTGGGTGAAAATTTTTAAGTTAAATTCTATGGTGTTAATATTAGCAAAAAGAAAGGTCAAAATATGGCAAGAGCAGTCTGGAAAGTCAGAATTCTGGAAAAGGCTGAGGTACGTGGTCTGCAAAGCATGTGTGTGACAGCTTGGGACTTGAGTGCACAACAGGGAGATGGATATGCACAGGTCTGGCTGAGGATGAGAGGAGGCGAGGCCACAGACAGATAATTCTGCCTGCTAGATTGTCTGCAGGCAGAAGTAGGATGCCATCTTCTCTTAAGATCAAAGTCGCAATAACATGTGACCAGCGTTGACCCGAGGACTCCTGGGAACGTAAAAATACATAGGAACACCCAACACTGTTGACTGTTGAGAAGAATCTACCTCACAATGCCTGCTACCAATAGGTCAAGTAAAGCCTGCCACTTGGAAGCGCCATTCTTATAGCGCAGCCAGGTGCCTTGGCAATGTGGTGAGCAGGAGCACAGCAGGCGCCACATGGTCTCCGTATTCCACCATTCAAATCCTCACAGCCACAGAGTGAGGGACACTTGCAATTGAAACAACATGGCCCAGTAAACCGGAAGATAAGGCAGGAAGGTTGCGGGACTGGGGTGGGCTGGGCCACACAGTGAAAATCCTGTCTCAAAAGAAAACAAGCAACAAAAGATACACAGCGTGGGATGTTTTCCACAGAGACTGTCTCACCGGACATTTCCTCCTTCAATGTGGTTTCCTTCCCCACATCTTTACCAACACTTATCTTTCAGCTTCGGACAGCAGTCAGTATCTGGGTCTGAGGGGAGACCTCCTCCTGATTCTGATTTGCCTTTCAGTTTGCCACATCCATTGTACACATGCCCAACCTGCCGGCCACATGCAGCCAATTAAAACACTAAGACTTTTTTCTTTGTACCTTGATTGCATGGTTCTCAGAGATGACGTTTATAGATGACAATGTTGGAGGGTTTTCTACCCCACAGCATACAAGTGATTGAACCTTTTATGTCACATGTATTGACATTAGGGGTAGATGACTCTCTGATGACAATATACAGCATCAAAGAGTCATATCCCATCTGCGTTCTGTCAACCACAAGCAATGTGTGATTTTCCTGAAGGAGGTGATCATGCCCCTTTTGCCCATCCTTTGTAGCCTCCTACGAGATAACTCCAGGGGTGCATAAGTAGCTCCTCTCCCAAATATGGCCCAGAGTCCAAAATCTCTACTGGCTCTGTGTGCTTGCCTGTGAAGGCCTTCATCTACCCTGAGCGTTTCACCTCTTGCATTCATGCACCAAGCGCTGTTTCAGCTAGGACTTGGGGAAAAGATGCAAGACTGTCAGTGGTTGGCAGTTCTGTGAGCCCAATCTTTCCCAGGCTCTGCTATTTGCATCTATCATTGTGAGAAAGCAAAGGTGCTTATTACCCATGTAACATTTTAAAAGAAATACCTACAGTTTGGAAAAAGTGGTGAAAGTGGAAATTATGTGTATATATAACTCCCACTTAAGTATTTATTTTCCAAATACCTATATACTTTTCTAAAGAAACCATGTTATAATAGAGTATATTCACGACTAACGAGAACACGCCGAAAAGTGTTTTCCTAATGATCACAAGTAACACAAACACCTAACTCTTAGTGGAAAACTGAGAGAGACACAGTGATACACAATAATCACAAATATCATCCTCTATCTGTATTTCTGTATTTCCAGGAGTGGATAAGTCCAGGGGGAAAGGTCAGTGACACCCAGAGCCTCTGAACGATGTTCTAAAAGCCTAGATGCACAGCAAAGATAATCTGGAAGAGGTCAGAGGTCACTGGGACAGGTGTGCTATCTCTGAGGGAACTCTCTATGTGGACCTGGGTGACTTGAGTCAGCAGAGTTATACTTGACTATCTGAACCACAATGTCCCTCCCGTCCTCTATAAGCACTTCTATAAAGACACACATGCGTAATTGAACTCTCTAAGCTCTGAAGGATAGACCACAAATTTTCATTGCTTCTAAGAGTCATCACAGCTAGTACAGAAATACTGAACACCCTTCAAATGGGTTCCACTTAAAGAGTGCAGATCGTAAAAGGAGCCCATTACTTGGTCACCTTGTATCACGCCACGCCCTGTGCACACTGGTCCGTGTGCTGATGTGTCCATAGGCGCACTAGCTTGGCTCTGCATGCCTGAGCTCCACCTACCATCACAGCTGGGCAGGGCATGGTTCCACTGATGGTTCTTCTCACAGATCAGAGGCTCATCGTCACTTATTGTGTAGCCGGGGTCACAGCTGAAGGTCACCGTGGATCTAATACCGAAGTTACTACCGTGCCGATGACCATTTACAGGGATGCCCGGGTCCAGGCAGGAGTCAGATTCAAGAGTTACACCTGCATGGACACAGGAAATATGGAGCTGAAAGGCCTTGCATGCTAACTGAATGGGAAAAAACCCCACTATATTATTAGCTATAACATAATCCCACATTTGCACAGATCCAGGGAATTACCCAAGTGAACTCTCCATTACTGAACTGATCGTTGAATATCCAGGAGTCCATTAATGTCAAAAGCAATGCCTCCAAACATTTGACCTTGTTTTTCCAAATTAAAAGCAATCATCTTGATGTGGTCTTCTCCAGGTCAAAGAGAAATGGGGCAACCTTGAATAATTGATTGGCCCCTCTGAATTTTACCTTTGTTGCCCGGAAAATCAATGGACTGTTAGGGGAACATTCAACTCGATTCCATTCCGTCTCTTTCCTTCCCCTCTCTCTTTCCTTTCATGTTTTGCATTTCAGTGAGGTTCTGGCAGCTGTACAGTGTTTCTCTATCTGCACACACACAGGCAAGTACAGCGATAGAATGCGGTTTCAAACTGCACGCGAGTTGGTTTTCTGAAGCCACATCCATAAACCCACAGTTTTAAAATTTGCGTACCATCTGCCATTTGCCTATGCTGCGAGATAGGCTGGTACAGAGCAGGAGCTGGGTCACTTCGTCATGACGTGCTTTGCATTTCTCTTTTCTAGGATAATGTATTTAAGAATGTGAGACTCACGGAAGAGAATGTCACTGTGATGTTTATGTAATTGGAGAAAGGGAAACTCTGATACACTGTCCCCGACGGGGCAGTAAGCTCAGACTTGAACTTGCGATCTGAGGCTGCTCACCAAATGTCATAAGGTCTTGGCATTCACATTTTCCTGGCCCCAGCAGTGACCTCCTGGATGCTAAGTTTTAATTAAGTTTGAAATTAACCCATGTTTGACTAATTATCAGTCTTTCAGTAGTAGAGTTGAAACATTATTATTCAATTTTGATAAAAATAATCCTTACAAGAACATGTTCATATCCTTACATGAACAAAGGATTACATAGGTAAAACACAGGGAAATGTATTCTGGATGCTGCTATGACTGGGTAGCAGATGTTCTGGGCAGAGACGAATAGAGTTGATGGAGAGAGAGGGGAGGCCAGGAAAGATTAAAGAAGATGGCATATATCCCATGCATGCATATAAAACTGTGTGTATTTGTAACATACAGCTATCATTAAAATGCAAGCACTTATTTTTGAGAAAAGGCTGAAAAGAGGAGTGGCCTTAAATAACCTGCCCAACAGAACCACGGTTCCTTTGGGTCTGAAACAAGCCCCTCTCAGGTTTTCCTGTTAAGGTGTTCTCATTGGGGGTTGCAGCAGCTTTGTTTTGTTTTGTTTGTGGTTGACTCTGGCTAAAAACCCACTCCTACGGAGAAGTCCCCTGGAGGTTCCCAAAGCATATTTATATAAATATTGCCATAGAATGGTACAGCTTCACTTCATGACTTCAGAAGCTGGAACGCAGAGTCAAACTGGAAAGAAAGCTGAGCCTGGCCTGCTGAACACACTGAGTCCATCATGGTCTACCAACTGTTAACTGTTCTCAGCCACCACTTGGCATTCGCTCAGCACAGCTGGGTTTTAATCCCTACTACCTTGGAAAACACATTCGCATGAACTCACAGACCAGGATGGTCTGCACAGTACCCTGGCAACTGATCCCACTCAGTATTTGGAAAATCTCTTCAGTAAAATGCTCTATATCACTTCCAGCCAATTGGTATCTCTGCTAATATATATATATATATATATATATATATATATATATATATATACACACACACATGTATATATATGTGTGTGTGTACACATGCATGCGTATACATGTACATATTCATTGTCCTATACATACACATTATGTATATAATATTATATTATGATAGAATATGTTAATTATATAAACATATATTACCCTATATATGATATATATGTATAATATAATAATTTAATAGTATAATAGAATATATTAATTTATTATGTACTAAAAGGATAAAATTTATTATTTAATGATTATATCATTTTACTTTGTATTAGGCAACTGATATTTATTAAGGAACCAAAATCAATCTTACACACTCCAAAACACCTATAGTAGAACTCTTGAAATTACTTGACAGTCAGATTGTCTGGGAAATCAGCCCATTTGTCTTCATTGTCTTCAGGAACACCTGAGACATAGTGTCCTGCCCAGGGAGCCAGTTAGGGGCCACTTACTCTCATAGTGGATGAGGAAGCCAACGTTAGACCGGCTGCTGTCGGTGGTGAAGAGCAGGTACATATAGTTGCCTGTGCTGATGAGGAACTGTGGTGCCTGCGTGCCATGGTACTCTCCGATCAGTGGGGATGAACTGGCTGGCCCATCCCGTACTTCCAGGGTATCGTAATTGACTTCTGTCTGGAACCTGGGGAGAGCCATGCAGAGTCATGTGAGCTTGCACACCTGTCCAGCTGTGCCACTCCTAGGACAAACTTCAAGTGACTGTGGTTATTGAAACGTTTGCATGTATACTGTATTATTTGTTGGAAAAGACAGCACATTGTACACATTCTATCATAACTAATTCTCTGTCTATAAAACAGGCTATAAAGAAGGTCATTATTAACCACTGAAAGATAAGGAGGTGATAGAGGACAGATAAATGAGTGATGGATAGATGTTAGATAGATGATACATGATAAACAGTTATATATATATATATACACTATACATTTATATAAATTATATATAACATGTACATAATATCAGGTAATTTGATGATAGATACATAGTGACATAGATGATAGGCTATAGACAGATGCTAGGCAGGTTGGTGACAGACTAAGAGAGAGACCGATGATGCATGGATACAACACAACATTCTATAGTGAAACAGTTGCTGATTGTGAACTTAGCACTATGTTTTATGACTCTCTCTTTACCATATTGTAGACACCTTGAATTAGACACACACGGAAGAGGAATGCTCCCTTAAGGAAAGAAGGACTTCACAGCACGCGGTGTTTAAATATCTTTCCTGAAAACCACGCTGTGCTTTTTTTACTCACACCAACCCTTGAGGGACCAACACTGAGCAAGCCGCTATTTCAGAAGCTCAGTGATGCCATAACAATTTGGGAAAGTCAGAACGGCTTCAAGATAGTTTTTAACTCTGCTTATACTGCCAGTGAACCCAGCCTGCAATTCTATTTATATAAAGCCAAGACACCCAGGTCCCCCTGGTGCAATGATAGCGCCATTTTTGGGCACTGGGATAATTCCTTAAACACTCCCATCTTGTTCTCCAGAGCTAACTTGGTTTCCAAGTGCCTCTTTTGGCTCTGAAGGAGCGTCTCAGAATTCCATGCCTCTGACTCACTCAGTAACTGAGCCAAATGCGTCTCTGAAGCTGGGCCACCATTTCCCTGATGGGTGCAGACTATTGCTAGGAAGAGAAGAGAGCTGGGGAGCTAGCTCAGTTTATTTGCACATCTCCACAACAGCAAGAGGACAGATACTGAACCTCATTTAACAATACTGCCGTGCTCACTACCAGCGCGGGTGTTCTTCTGTAAAGGTGCAGTAATGCTATGTTTTCCAAGCAAAGTAGTAGCTGCTATTTTGTGCTTTGTTCTTCTACACAGAGCAAGGCAAACAATATGGCTAGACCAGACCAGGGACTGAGGTTTGTGGACCTGGGCCTGGAGGTGCCAGCTTTGGCTTTATTACTTTTAACACTGTGATATATAAGATATTTGGGTCCAAATTTCAGAAGTCTGCAGAAGCATGGAGTCTTCCATTTGGATCTTGAAGAGATCCAAATGGAAAAACTTTCACATTGTTTTTAGCTCGGGCAGTGCAGACTGATAATACACACACACACACACACACACACACACACACACACGCACGTTGAAAACTGTGAACTGCTCAGTGCTTATCATGACTTGGCAGCCTGGCATCTTTGCACAGCCAAACCATCTGTGGAGAATCCAAACCTTATTTGCACAGATCCAATATCAGCTGTAAACCAAGAACAAACTAAAGCGGTGCCATGCAGTTTATCTTTGACGAGCAAAGCTCTGGCTGCATCTAGGTTGGATGTCTAAAATTTCCAAGAATATTAGTTACTCAAACAGGATTTACCAAAATATTGCACCAAATTCATACTAAAAAGATCACACTGTGGAAAACTTAGCACGAATCTTTCTTCAAGCAACAGAAACGAGACAGGCGATCGAGACCATGAAATTAATACTTTATCTAAATGATACAAATCTGACCCGTGACTGGGAACATGGGGTGTTTCATTCTGTTTTTCCTCGATTCCAGAAAGTATAAGAATTGGTCGGGAATTGAATTTCACATACTGAACACATAAAACTATTTTTTTAATGATTAATGTCATTTTTGCATGGTCACTTACCAACAGATACTGAGCATTTTTCCTTGTTTGGAAGGATCATTCTACTAAAATGTAAGGTCTTTCAGAAGTATAGATAATTATTAATAAAAAATAATTAGTAATGATAGTTCCACTACATCTTTAAAACTCCCTAATCCTGATATTATGAATTGTTTGAAAACAAGGAAGAAAATATCACATGTCTTGAGACAACTTATTAAGAATATTACAGATCGGAGCCCAGTCTTTTCACATCATACAGAAACTGAACCTGTAGTGTTAAGCAAAGGTGCTTTTTTAGATTTCAAGTAAAAGGATTTTTGTGCAAAAACAAACAAACAAACAAACATGTTTTCATACCTGAAATTGATTTCAATGCTTAGATAAATGGCAAAGCACCTGCTAGAGATTGAACAGTATCCTTCCTTCCTTTAATAATCTTTACAGATTATTAAACATGTGTTCAGATCACTGGGTCAGACTCAGTCGCAGTCATAGTGGCTCCCACGCACTGGAGAGGCTCTTAACCTACTGCGCTAACCCTACTGCCGACCCTGAACCTTTGACAACCTTCAGGTGTTAGCCGTCTCCCCAGAACTGGAGAACTCTGTTCTGGGCTGTCATGGAGGGTGCAGAAGGGTCCATCAGGATGGGGAGCTGCTTCAAGGAAACACCACGTAACAAGCAGAAATCTCTCAATTCCAGGTTCCAAATCCGAACTCTATGTAAGTCTAGGACAATGACCATCCAGCGTGTCTCCCTATCTATGTCCCAGAGCCGAGACTTCATTGTGCCCATGGGAAAGCAGAACTTTGAGAACAGACAACATGGGTGTGTCAGCCTCTGGTCCTTGGTCAATGATCTTCCTTGGGGGCCTGAGAATTTTCATATTTTAAGGTCTAGTTACATAACACAGGGAATGTAGCTGCAGCTCTAGCTGCCAAAGCAGTGGGGAAAGGTTTGCTCTCACCTGTCAAATGTTATTTTGATGGAATGTCCCGGCTTTGCTTCAATGATCCATTCACAATTTAAAGAATCTTTGTAATATCCTGGCCATCCTGGAGGTAAGATGACCCCACTAGAAGCCGTCAGGTGCCCACCACATGGAGCTGGAAGAGGACACACAAATCAGTCAAGAAAAAAAGTCAAGTCTAGGAAGGTGTACCATAGCAGCCTCCCATTAGAGGTAGGTACTGAGTAGTCAGTCATTCGGGGAGTCCATGTTTGCATCGAATAAAACTCATTCCTCAGGAAAACTTATCGGATGAAGTCAACAGGTATGTTCCACCTTTTCCTGGGCTCTATCATCATATTCAGTGTGGTTTTTATACTATAACACCCCAGAAACATGTGTACTCTCTGTGTTAAGTAGATGCACAGGGAAACCACCTTCACTCTGCTGAGGCAGATGCAACTGCTTTTCTGCATCTCATGCAAGTACCTGCTTATCCACTTTTCATCACCTCAAGCCTAAAATTGGACGTTCTGAGACAGTGTGCTACTGTGGAAATTCATGCCAGGGTGTGTGCTCTTTGTATTAATTACCAACGGATGGTATAGAATTGTTGATGGATGTCACAAAACACGGGGCTGCTTCTTTCGAGGCCTTTTGTGACAAAGTGACTGGTTACTACAGAGAAAGGGGCATTTGGAAAGTACACATTAAGATCAGACATCTTTACGGCCTGAAAGAGTGCTTCCACAATATTTCACTATCTAATCTTAGATAGCATTTCAATATTTAATATAACATCATGGGTAATATTTATTTACACATTCCATTTTTTGTTGGGGTCCTTACTGAGAGTTTATGGTTTTGCTAGAAAAGTCATCAATTTCAAAAGGACTTTAAACTTTAAACTTCATTATTTAGTTTTTTAAAAAACTGTTGTCCTAGAGTTCATGTTTCTGTGCACGATCATTTTCCCCACCTTACCTAGTGCTTTCACAAATATCACTGAGCCGCGATGGCAGATACAGAGGAGAGGGTGAACTAATGTATAGAGAGGCCACGTGGTTTATACCAGTGATGCTCTTGGCATCTAGGGCTGTGCCAGAAGGCTTTGGGTGAGACTCTATGGCCTGAGGCTAAACTGTTAACTACAGTAACACTCGCCTCTGGTGAACCTGTCACTGATATATCTCCCCCATCAGTGTCTTCATCGGAATCACTTGGGCTTCTCCGTTAGTGATGCCAACAAGAGACTGCACTTATCTTTAATCACTTTTTAATGTTGGCTAACTGAAAGATTTGCACCACTCAAGGTGGGCTAGGACTTGGGGTCCCACATTTCTCTTGGATTCCACAATTAATTAGAAGACACCTTTCCATTATATATATATATATATATATATATATATATATATATTGTTCATTGTAATTAAATTCCAATATGAAAAATTCTGTGGCTTACATTAATTTTAATTTGTTTATCTTAGCTAACAATGAGGTTTTTAAAAAAAGTCAATCTTGAATAAACACAAGGAACAAGAGTGTTCTAGGAGACTATAGGGATCTCTGTACAGAATTTTTCTTTAAGGGGCTTATGCTGCTTGCACAGAGCATTACGGAAGGAAGGGGCATGAGAGGCTACATATTCTGTAAAGCAAGAGAAAGTCTCCAAATCCTGTAAGGAACGTGAGAACGTCCACGTCCTGAACGGGGCATGGGAGTCTCCACATTCTATAAGGAACACGGGATTCTTCTCATCCCTCTTAGGCAGCACTTGCTCTTCTTGCTCACCTCCTCCTGCCTTGCCCTTTCTTCTCTCCTGGTCTACATCCATCAGAAAGTCAGCCTATATTCCATTTCAGCAGGTACATCGATTGGGGATCCTTCCACTGTTATCAGAGTACCCACCTGCCCTGTCAGAGACTCATTTGCAATCACTGATTGGGTTCCCGGAGTAGGAAGACTTCCAGGCTCTCTCACCTACTCTCATTCCTCTCTAAGATTTGCTTTCTTAACAACTTCAACTGGAGTTTGCCCTCCACTTCGTGGGGTTGGACCGGTCTCTTTCTAAAGGAGGAAGAATCCTTCACCAGCTTTTAAGATGACTGACAGCTTCCCCTTTCACCAGGGTTTTCACCCCTGCCTTGCTCCGGTCCATTGACTCTCCTTGTCCTCTCAGGCAAATGCTGGCCCAGCGGCTCACAATGCATTCCTACACAGTCCATTGCCCACGGAAGCACAAGGATAATTGTGGGCATAGAAGAACAGGGGCTAGAGTCTTGTTATCTTAAACATCTTTTTTGATAGATCATTCATGCTTCAAAGTCAACAGAAATGCCTGAGTGGGACAGTGTCTGCAAACAGGATTGCCCATGTCATCAACCGGAGAGCCTGCAGTGTGTGTTTATGGCGACTTAAAAACTGCCATGTCTCAACATTCTACAAAACATGACATACAGAAGTTACATGGTGTGTGTTTGATGAATCAAAGTTCTCTTATTGTGCTGAATTTTGTTTTGTTTTCTGTTTTTAGTGTTGTTCATTTATGCCCATAGATCATATCCATAGTTCACCAAAGTGGCAGATGGAGCAACTAGAACATTGTTGTGGATTTCACCACATCCCAAAGAGGCAAAGACCAGGACCTGGTTAGAACACATTCTTCTCTTTAGCCTATGCATACTTCCATGTGTGGCCCTATACACATCCACATACAGGCAATGAACTTGGTGGATATAAGAAAACGAGTAGATGAAGCTGGGAGGGAAAAGCGGTAGGTCAGAGACAGAATTGGGGGGTGGGATGAGAAGTGGATTTGATGAAAATTTAAGCATAGATAGAATTCTCAAACACTAGTGTTTATTTATAAGGGAACAATTATGGCAGTGGGACTAGGACAGGATAAGCCCACCCTGACTAGACACACCACCCCCTAAAATAATAATGAACAACTACGGCTGGGGCAGGATGAGGCCTCTGTGCTATTGGCTGCCATTCAGAGGCTTAATCTACACACTGAGTCAAGTTCATCTTAGACCTCCTGAAGGTCACAGGACTGGTGACAATATGCCATGCATGTTTCTGCCTTGTGGGGTGCAGGTGATGGAGCTGGATAGAACAACAATCCTATGTAACCCTTTTCTATTTGCTTATTGAAAAGAAGGATGTGTTAACATTAGAAAAATTGGAGAGAAATAGAGATCAGTGGAAAATATTTGTTCGTAACTTTAATTAGCAAATATCACTTAACAATTTTTTGCATTTTGTTAATGTGAGCTACTGCTTATTTAAATGTTTCCGTCATGGTATGGCATGACTCCTTTAAATTTATATGTTCAGGTGGTATGTAAGGGCACAGCTAAGTTCTAAATGGTTTCATTAGCACCCATAGTTTGGTGACCTCCATCCTTTCACATGATCAGGTTTCAGTAATGTTCTTTTGATCTTATAAAGTTTGCAGTGGTGGGTGAGTCCTGGCATTTGGATACAACCTATTTACCCAAACAAACCTCATCACCTGAGCTTTCCTTGCCTCTAAGTTTTTGCTCTTGCAGTTGTACAACTAACATTCAGCAGTAGCACCATTTATTGCTGATAGAATATTTTGTGGGATTATTCCATTATTCTACAAATACAGGTCATGGCTCAAAAGACAAAAGGATTTGTAGGATTCAATATAAATTTACTCTGGGATGTTGTTAACATCTATTCTCGAGAGCACAGGGTTTTCCACACAGTCTTGCCAATAATCTATCTCATTATCACTTATAAACCTTTGATGATCATCTCGTATAGATTTTGCTTTTGAACTCCCTTTCAGAGCTACCAGAAGGACCTGCCCTCCAAACTCCTGGTCTTAGATGTCCAGCTTACAGACTCAGATGAAGGGGTTCCCACATTTGCACCACTTTGTGGGTCTTTGCTATGGAAGCCTGGGAAGGTGACAGACTCTGTTTGCTGTCCTTCTGAAGGACTTGGTCAGAGGCTCACCTTCACAGCGAGGGACAGTAGAGCTCCAGACCACATTCCCATCTTGCAGGATACAGGTGATGGACTCAGAACCCTGGGTCTTCACGAAGCCGTCGTCACAGTGGAAGGACACAGAACTTCCCAGCAGAAACCTGTCTCCAAATCGCCGGCCATTCACAGGAATGCCAGGGTCGTGGCACTCATTCTGACCAAACGCTGAACCATGAGAGAGAAAAGTCAGCAACATAAAGATGCTCAAAGCTAATTACATGTCCTGACAAAGAAGGAAGCATCGTATTTACAGAAGAATGATGTAACAAATTTCCACATCCATTATTCATAAATAAATACATCAAACCAATTGGATATCAGTGTAAGAGAGGAGATGAAGAGGGAGACAGAGTGAAGAAGTTCTGTGCCTGTCATCTGTTTCATGTTGCTGGTAGAGCTGACCTTCACCGTACACTCAGAAGAGGGGATGATCACAGCACAGGTGGTAAGCAGAGAGATCTGAAGAACTCTGCCCTGTTAGAGTCCTGCTCTTAACCTTACCATGTGATGTGAAGAAGAAATCTTAGCATCTAGACCTGTCTATTTGTGTTTAAAACACAAAGACTATTAAGCTTATATCCCAGAGTTACTCTAACACCGATAAAAATAAACATGGCCAAATTCTTAACGCTGAATACCTCAGCATTGCATCACACTTTCCTTCTTAATTTTGAATGTTTTGCAGAAGAAAAAACTGAAGCAAAAGGAAGTTATCTTCCAGATAAATAATTGCAAAGTATCTCTAGGTACCGTTATTCATGTCCCTAGTGCTTGATATCAGATACACCAATGCGTTTTTACCACAGCGTATCATTCTGTAGAGCATACATTTTTTTAGGTGAATAAATTGTTTGAGGAATGGAAGATTGGATGGACTGAAGGGTAGTTAGATACAATGAATGATGAAAGCGAGTGTGTAAAAGAATATGGATGGATGGATAACGAAGGATGAGTGATTAATGAAAAATGGATGAATAGATGGTGGGTGATGAAGGGTGCGTAGGTAACAAAGGATGCATGAATGTACAGATATAAAAAGAGATAGATGGATACATGGATAAATAGATGAATGGAGGAAGAGCAGGTGGACAGTAGGATGGATGGATGGATGAAGGAATAAATGGATGGATGGTAATGAATAAAGGATAGATAGGAAATGAAGGAGAGAAGGATGGATAAACGAGTGGACAGATGAATTAATAATGGGTGGCTGGATGGATAGACAGATAAAAGAGCATGGCTGTGCAGTTGCATGGGAAATGGGTAGTAAATAGGTAGATGAATAGACTGATGGCCAGAGAGAGAGAGAGAGAGAGAGAGAGAGAGAAATCTATGTGAGAGCTCTAACATCTACTCTAGGTGTCTAAAGCACAGCCCACATAGAGCGATCTCTTTTTTATCAGGATGATAAATAATTTTGCTACTTGGGATATTCCTTTATAGTCCTAAGGCGTCAATCCTTGGATTTTTAGTTCATGGACATGTGAACGCTACGGGACATGGATGATGCACTTGTGTGCCCACTCACTGGTGTATGTGATGTTGAACCCTCTGCCCGTTGTGGAGTGATCGGATTGAAACTCCAGCCGTACTACGTGTCCACTGCTGGCCAGCTGTGCAGGCACCTCGTTGCCAGAGAACGTTCCGAGGACCGTGATGTCAGAAATTCCATCATCTTTGACAGCCAGGAAGTCAAACTGAGGCTCCACGTCAAAATCATTGAAGATGAGGTGAATCCGGCTTCCAGGCTCAGATATGATCAGCCAGACACAGTTCATGTTGTTGCCGTATTCCTCAGGGTAGTTTGGTGAGAGAATAATCCCGGAGGATGCCGTGAAGTTGAAGAAACACGAAACTGCAGGGCATGAAGATAATGTCATATAGTGTTATACAGATCAAAGCCTTGCCATATGAACCCGGCTGCAGACAGCTAGAAATGACAATCCCACTGGGGCTCACATTGGCCCAACTACTCTGAGCTCTGTGTGCTGAATTCCGGATGATCGACTTCAGAACTGTAAGACACGTGTTCCGTTCCATAGCCCAGCTAGAGCGCACAGATAGTTGAGTATCAGTGTATTTAAAACCAATTCTATCAGATCAGCTAAAAGAAAAATGCTGTTGCTATGTTTACTTATAAATGAAACCAGCTCCCCGTGGATGTGGTCCCGAAATGGTGATGGCTGAAACAGTACACTTGATGCTCTAACCGAATTCTAAATGCCCACTGTCTCCTGGCACATACAACCAGCTCAGATCCAGCTGCTGCCTAGGGGGACCAACTCCATACTCCATGTGAGTTCTTGATGGGGATGGTGGTAGATGCCTCATCCTTTCAAAGGAAAGGCTCAGCTCTTCTCTACCTAGCAGACAGGATCAAGGCATGAACTTCTTCTTCTTTTTTTTTTTCCAGAGGAAACAGGAAGCCCTGAGCTGCAACCAAGGCTACCTTCTGCCACACTCCTCTTACTCTGTACCTGATGTCCGACCCCCACAGGTGGGACTCACACACGCAGCTCGGCTTGTTGCCTGACCACTGGTTGTTCTTCTGGCACATGATGACTCTCTCTCCCACCAGCTCGAAAGCCGCCTGACACTCAAAGGTCAGCGTGTCTCCGTGTAGGAAGCTGCTGCCAGTTCGCTTCCCGTAGGCTGGGATGCCAGGGTCCCCACAGCCTCCCTTCTCAATTTCTGAGGAGCAGAAAATAAACAAGCCACTGAAAACCTCTTCAAGAACATGCACAAATTCAAAAGAAAGGAAGTGTCTCCTTTGTGCATCTGAACAATGTATAACCGATTTCAAAGAGATTCTCTTTTTGTTTTGTTTTATTTTTATTGTTGTTATTGTTTTTCAAGACAGGGCTTCTCTGTGTAACAGTCCTGGCTGTCCTGAGACTAGCTCTATAGACCAGGCTGGCCTGAACTCACAGAGATCCGCCTGCGTCTGTCTCCCAAGTGCTGGGATTAAAGGCAAGCGCTGCCACCACCCGACCTCAAGGAGATTCTTGATTCCTCTAGCATTTTACTACAAAATCCAGGATGAAATGACTGTGCAGATGTGCCAGACAACAGATGACTCATTCCAGCATGCCCAGCCTTCTGTCGTTGCTCAGACTGAGACACAGCCATTAACTTAGCCTTCATCTATGCTTCTGGCTATGAACAAGGCAAGCAAGATTATTCCAGACCATCAGACTATTTAAATCTGCCTAATCTATTTGAATACTCTTCCTCTTAACTGAATAGTAAAGCAACTGGTGGTGCAGAGTGGACCCGCTTACAATCCTAGAAGAAAACATCCGTTTAGACCTTTCTTCAAAACATCACCGCAATGAGTTGAGAGTTTGACTGCCGCAGACCTCCTAAGAGTTCACAGACATTGGCTCAAAGGTTAACAATACAGAAGTTATCAGCTGAGGCGTAGTGCCCATTTATTAATTTGCAAAAAACATCTTGAGAGCCAACTGCTTGTGAGCTTCCTGTGCTAGGGGCCGGGAGCTGCCTGCTTGTGAGCCTCTTGTGCTAAGTGCCAGGAAATGTCCCCTTGTAAGCCCCTTGGACTAAGGGCCAGGGGATGTCTGCTTGTGAGCCTCTTGTGCTAAATGCCAGGGAATGCCCCTTATGAACCCTTTGTACTAAGGACCAGGGGATGTCTGCTTGTGAGCCCCTTGTGCTAAGGGTCAGGGGATGCCCCCTTGTGAGCCCCTTGCACTAAGGGCCAGGGGATGTCTGCTTGTGAGGCTCTCATGCTAAGGGCCAGGGGATATCTACCTGTCTCTCCTGCCAAAGATGCAGAGGTTCATCTAGACGCAAGTCTGCTGCAACCTGGAATAACCTATGTCTGTCACATCCTCTGCAAATAGTTAACACAGCTTAGCAACTACTAGCAAGGCAGATTCCACAGAGCTTCAACCGCCACAATGTGTAGTTTCCTTCTGTGGAGACTTTGCATTCACACCTTACCTAAAACCTTGCAACAATGCCCCAGATTATTGCCCAAATAGAAACTCATTCCAGATTTTCACTTGAGGACCTTGCCATCCTCAGGAGGGAATCTTTGCTGTCATTCAATGAGATTATTTGCAGGAATCAAAAGAACAGAAGACTCCGACTGCACTGATTAACACAGCATCAAACCTCTGCTTACAGAGATGAAGTCAAACCCTTTACTACAGAGATGGAACCAAGTCTCCACCCATATGGATTGTAACATGCTGGAGACAACTTTGCTGTGTTTGCTTGGGAATATAACTCACAGATGAATAGAAGATTCTAGGCCTTGGGGGAAACAAATGCTGTGTGCACATTCTTCCCTAGAAATGTGATTACAGAATGCAGAGACTTGGGCTAATGCAGCTTCTCTGGTTTTCTGGGATGGCTCTTCTGTCTCCTGAAAATATCTGTGCCCAAGTCTCCTGGGGTTTCCATGATAATGTATTGATGTATTTTTACTATCACCTTTGGACATGCTAAAATTATTACCTACTTTCAATTTTTGCCTCATCTTTTTCCTATTTTTTTGGATTTTGGAGCATCTTAATAATTTTTCTATAAATACTTTTCTTAGAATGATATTGCAAGCTTAACAATCTTCCTACTAAATTTTGCTTTTGTTTGATACTTTACACTGTACCTATAAACATTCACATAATAAAACACTAATGGGGTTCACTGTTCCCTGGATGTAGGTGAGCATTTTTGAAAGCTGATAATAACAGTTACTAGACACAAATAAATCAAAACAGTGAACTGACAACCGAGTATGTCCCTGCAATTCCCATTTCTCCTGATCTTGGATAGAATCTGGAGACAGCAATGTGTTTGCGGAAATGAGATGTTACCCTCAGATAGAATTCTAGAAAGCTCATAAGAGGAACCACAAAAATAGGTAGCTGAGGGGAACTGAAAGGCAAACCTCTGAGAAATGCTACTCAAATATTATGATAAACTCTGATAATTAGTAGGTTAACAGGTTTTGATCTACCAAATGCAATTCTACTCAAATAAACATATACCCCTGACCAACCAGGCCACAATTATTAGTTTGATATAACACCGCCAGGCACCAATGAGAACGATTCCCATTAATCCTGCTGTACAGTCGTTGTAACTGCCCTGACCTCAGTACATCTCAGCCTATAGCAGGTAGATGAAGGACCATTTTGGTGACATCTATGTCTACGCTATCATATGCACTTCATCGGCACGACCATGCGGAGGCCTCACTGGGTTTGCCTCATCCCTCTACCTCCTCCTTGACTCTTAGGAGTTCCCCAACTGTTTCAAATAAGGCACCTGCAAGTGGCTACTTGTTGAGCCATGTGTCATGCTCCTGTTCTCTAAGTCAGAATCCACCTCGGTGGCCTCTCCCTGTGACAATCCCATCCCAGCAAGAGGTGACAGGTGTTAGCTAGACATTACAAACCATTCTTGCTCACACATGCCCCCTTCCTTCTATCTAAAAGCCGTTTCTCTCAGTGATCCGAAGTCATCCCCAAAGCCCGCATTGGCACCAGTGATCTGATTGAATGACTAGCACCTCCGGATTATGGGGAATATGAATATTGCAGCTGAGAAACCAAATTCACCTCATGTGGTCTTTAGAGGCCTCCATAGCCATTTGCCAGCCACCGCCGTTTCTGACCTAACATCCTGGTGACAGCTAGCTAAAACTCTTGGCATGTATCCCATCACAAACCATGAACTCTCACTGACCTTCACACAGCACCTAGAACTTACGGCAAAGTCCCTGCTTTGTTGTAACTTGTCCACATTAATTGATTTGTTACTTAAAATATTCTGTGGTTATAAAAATTCAGATTCAGGTAACAGCTTTTACACTGGTGAGTGACATACAAAAAAATCTGGATTATGTTCCAAGTCATTGTCACTCATGTTTAGCATAGAATGAACTGGGCAAGAGCTGTGTTTGGGAACCTCTGTAGGCATGGCATCCTTCTTCCTAAGGATGGAGATTCTCCGAAGCTAGATGTCTCTCCTCGTCCTCTCTCCATTCCTTTCTATTCCCCTCCATCCATTCCCCCCTCTTTGTGGTTTATAAACTCCTCCTTTCCTCCTTTCTAAAGGTCTTCAGAGGTTTAAGAACTAATCTGGAGGCCTGCAGAGAGTGAAACTCATCACTGTGAGCCTGTCCTTTAACACTCCCATAAGATACACTATGAGTACAATGGTGGAGCCACACCCTTTCAGTTTTGAGCACTCCACTTGGCACGTGCCATTGTCTATGTATGAAGATCTTTGAGATGCTTGGCCAGCCATAGGTTCTTGCTAATGTTTGGGCTGTGCTTTTACTCTAACAAGATTCTAGCCCTTGCAGAAAGAATGTTCTAGTCTATGAAAAACTTTTTAAAAACTGTATTAGTTTAAAATTTCACACATATACTTATGTATATGTAGTGGACAGATGATTATGCACATAGGTGTAATGGATATGGAGACCAGAAGGCATCTGGTCTCTTGGAACTATAATTGTAAGCGCTTGCGAGCCTCCTCCCATGAGTTCTGGAAACCAAAGTCAGGTCTTCTACAAGTATACTCCATGCTCCAAACTCCAAGCCATCCTCCCTGCCGGTTGACAAAAGCTTTGCAGTAGCATTTGTTAAGGTTTCATGGTGTAGGATCTGAGTACACAGACGCAGGTCCTGCGTTCAGGTGCTTATGTGAAGATACACAGCAGGTTATTAGGGCAGGTGTGGGTTCCAGGGGAGATGCCTGGCCTGGGAAGTTACTCTGCCACAAATCAGGCTCACCGGCTTTCTTGCTTCCCTTGCTGTGAGCGAAGTGTTCCTTGTAGCACCCATTCCACTTCTTTTCCTCATTAACTTCAACCTTACAGCCTCACACCAGGGGGTTCCAATTATTTGTATTTAGAATGAAAACCTAAAGAGGATGGGACTCTCCCAGGTAAGACAAAAGCCTCCTTCATCCAGTTATGAGCTACTGAGATGGAAGCAGTGGTGGAGACCCCTGAGATTGTTTTGGATTCTGATTCTTTCTCCTGTTGGTCAGGACGTTGACAATGAGAGATGACCTGCACCGGGGAGCATAGCCAGCAGTCCTAACACTCTTCTCCTATCTTCTCCTCTGTCCCTGTCCAAGAGGACAGTCTGCACAGTCACATATAAGGACGGGGATCTGGGAGGATGCTCTGCTCTGGCAGTCAGGGACTCTTCAGTGCAATCCAAACGAACCATCAGGCTAGCTTTGGAGAGCATAGTTGAGACGAGAGATTAAAGAACCTTTGGGCAATTTTAGAACCCGACTCAGGACAGAGTGATCCATGAGCATGCAGGAAGTGAGGAAAGCTGTCTCTTAGAAGTGGAACCCCACACCATGATGAGTTTCCATGGTTTTTCTCCTTCCCTGGGGACCCACAGGACTGAATACTGTATCTTATGAGCACATACAATGGTGGTCTGTACAGAATCTACCTTTCCCCTGAGAATCTATCTGTCCTAGGCTGCATGAGCAGTGGAACCCAGAATAGAGACTGTCCTAAAAAATGAATGTATGAATCAACAACTAATTCAGATGATCCTCTGACCTCTGTCAATAAATACTTTCATAAATATATAAAGTTTGTGGGATCCGGGGGAAGCTGAGAAGTTTCCCAATTACAGTCTCCAATTCAGATGAAAGCAAAGATTTATGCACAAAAAGACTAAGTTAGT